TAATACGTAAAATTCAATGCAATATTTGTTTTTAATGATTAATTTTATTAATTAATGCTAATTATTTATTCAATAATTAGTTTTTTACTTTTTGTTCCCCCAAATCGACAAAATCAATCGACAAGAATGGTGGACTTTCGACCCTGTCCCACCCCCACCCCCCTCGAAAACTTCTGTGTGCGCTACTGATTAGAACCAAAACTCGTGAAATATTCTTGGAAGACCAAATATAGATATTTGAGAAAGTTTTGGTAGAAAAAAACAAACAGTTTATTGCAATTTTAAATCTCCTTCTAATCTACTTCAAACTGACCCTGTACAAATGCTGATACACAGCACAATAATCGAGGCTAAAAGAATAGAATAATATGAATAATATGAAAGTATGAAGATAGAATGCCAACTAAGATGCTATCTTATTCAGTTGACTCTGGTTGAGAATTGAGAGGCTTATTCCCAAGAGCCCTTTTTTTCAACTCCTATTATTAGTTCACTCTCACCACACACACACATATATATATAGTTAAAATTTTCAATAATTAATAAAATACTTTCTATTCATTCATTCAATTTCAAAGACATTTTTTAAAACTTTTAGTGGATGACACTTGATGTTAATACAGTTTTTTCTAACATTTTTTTTAGTTCATTAATTAAATTAAAAAATGAATAAATAGTAACAAACAAAAATAATAGTTCAACAGCATATATAGAAAAAAAAATCGTTCGTTGTGTCTCTGTAGCGCAATGGATAGCACGTTGCACTTTAATCCAAAGGTCGTGGGTTTGAATCCTATCTGGGGTGGCTTAATTTCTGAGAATGTGATTTGTGAATGAATAAATAAAAATAAACAAAAATAGTAGTCCAACACCATATATAGAAAGGGGAATGGAAATTGGCTTTCTAATTTGCCGCTGAATATTGTGATTATGTGATATGTATATACATAATTATAATTATTTAATAAAAAGTTACTAATATATAAATTTTTTTTTTCGTTGGCCTAAGTAGGAATTGACTTATAATTTTTTTTTATTTTTTATATTACTTGTTTTTTTATGTTTTATTACACAATTTGTGCCTGACATATGATTTTTATTTTTCAATATTATCGCAAACTTCTAACAGAGTTCCTCATTGTGTGTGAAATGCGTATAATTCTGCAAGTACTTGCAACTTTTGGTTTACAGTGTATATATTTAAAGTTACTTGTATATGGTATGAAACTTAATATTAGAAAATATTAATGTCATTAGCTGCATTACAATACTTTCATGATAGCAGCAATTTTTACGGGCTGGAAGATTTCTGCAGCTCATTACATTAAATTCTCCAGATTATTATGCACCCTGAAAACGCTCTTAAAATTTTAACGAGCTCTGCAAATTTGTTTAGCTGTGCACACACACCAAGATTCCTTTAAAGAACTTGCAGAACCAAATCAGTGAAATAAGTAAATAGATGAATAATGTATTTAAGAAAAAAAGTTTATATCGGAAAATATTTCAGAAAAGAATCCATCTTTTCCCTGAACATCATTACCGGAAGAAAATCTGCATTTAATTCAAGCATCTGTGGCGCATGTTTCTAGAGAGGACGCGATTTTGGCTCATCTCACACAGTAAATAAATGCGCTTATTATCAACAAAAAAGAAGAAAAAAAATAGCGACTAGTAATTAACTAGTATTATTTTTCTAGAAAGATTTTATTCTATCTGAAACATATATATTTAAAAGTAAATGCATAGATCTGTAAACTTACTCACAATTGTTTTTTTCATTACGTTTTTTTCACATTTTTTGAATTAAATAATGTTTTTTTATTTCATCTTGCATGTTGATTAACACGTGAAACGTATTCCTTTCTCTTACTATACAAATCATTGATTTTGCCGGATTTCCGTGTACACGATTTTTGAAGGTATGAGTTTTGAAGGATATCTGTCTTGTAAAAAAGAGGAAATTAAATGTATTTGGAAATGTTTTGAGGAGGTTGTAGGAGGGGGTGAGAGAAAGGAACTATTTTACTGCAAAATATAGTTTTCTATAATAAATTAAAAATTGTTAAAGAAACCAGGACATCATACACATTCAAAACATCTATTTTTCAATTTTAATATTAAAAAATAGTGCATATTTTTCTGAATCTAAACATGTATAGCACTTATGTGTTCGTTGATAAAATAACCTTAAAATATGAAAAAAGTAATTGACAAAAACGTGAGCAAACCTTTCACAAATGCTTAGTTTTTTTTACTTTTTCTCCAAAGCTTGATTTTTTCTTTTAGGTAAACTTTAAAAAAAAACAAACTATTGCATTATATTGTTCCAAATCTTTTATACTTCTATATAGGATACCTAAGCATATATAGTGAACCTATTTTTTACTGTAAGTAATACATAGTTTTTTTAAAAAAATAGTTTAATGTATAAAAAAAAAGGGGGGGGGGATAAAAAATTTCAAAATTATAAAGTTTTAAAAATTTTCTCAAAGAAACTATCTCTTAATATTTTACTAAAAAAATAGGTTCACTATATTTTGTGTATTGTTTTATACATGCACAAAAAATATTTTACATATTTAAGAGATACTTTTTCAAAAAATGGTACCTAAACTTAAGCATGTATTATGAGATCTCAAAAATTATGTCCAACTTAAAGTAAACAGAGAAAAAAAAAATTTTAACTAAAATTTATTTTTGGATTTCTACAGAATGATTCAAATGTGTCTTTATTAAGATCACAAAAAATTAAAGCTCTATTGGAAATTTTTAAAGATACTTGACACATAAAAAAGATCTTATTTTTGGCATATTTTACTCCTTGGAGCATGTCATGGTATCATTAATTCTTACATTGAATAATGAGTGAGTGAGATTTATTATTAACGTCACATTTAACGGAACACGAGAGTTGTTGCCGGCGGACCTCGTAATTTTGAACAACACAGTCAAGTGAAGAGGACGACACTAAGCTGGCACTCCACTTTCCTAACTTCCACACCATGCCAACAAGAACCACAACAGATTTACTGAGCATCAGTCTCTCGGCGGGTCTTCAGTGGAATGAGGACTCAACAACGCCGGCCACGAGTTCGTGACCATAATCACCAGGTGACTACAGTCTCTATGAAGGTGTGTGAGAGTCTAGATGTTTGAAATTTTAAAAAAAAATTTGATAGGGGAAGTATAATTTTATCATGTAAGGGTTTTTTTTTCAGAAAACATTCGAAACGTAAAATATTGCTTTCATTAAAGTTTATTTAAGATGAATCATTCATATTTTAACGAAATTGATTTCCCAATCCTCGCTGATGCGCATAAGATTAGCGAAGGGGAAAATCCAATTACGCATAACTGTAGTAATAAATTTTTCTTATATATAGTACATTTCTTTCCACTCTTATAGTCACGGAATGAATATAGATAGAGATTAATTACATCTACTTGATATTCAATTAAATATTTATTCGGACTTAAATGATTTCACCCAAACCCGATCTATTTATAAGGACTCATTCCACTTGTCTTTATCGTACATCTCTCGATACAATCGACATTTATAAATAATTATACTCATATATGAATAATTTCACCAATCACTTTACGAATGGGTAATTTCACGTCATTAAGAATTATTGAGTACTTTGCGGTCAGGACTTGCCCGTTCGATTCAAAGGAGTACAATCGGGTTATAATTTAGCATCATTACGAAGAAATACTGCATCTTATCGACTGTCGATGACTGTTATTTGTATTTAAGTATACCACAATTTATTTTTCGGCGCTGTGTTAGTACTTCCTAATAAAATAGTGAAAACGGGTGTTTAAGAGTAAATAACACGGAATACTCTTTTATTTTGTCAGTTTTCCGTAATACTAGTAATTTGAATGTTTCATTGAAACGTTGTAGGTTATTTGTACTTTCGGCTTGGATAAATCCATTTGTAATGGTTTTCGATAGTAGTTTGTTTCTATGAATGGCCACGTGTCTGTTAAGGCAACTAACTCTGTCCATTGAACTTTTTTTCCTACTTTCTCGTAAACATTTATAGTGAGGCTGGTGGAGAGTATAATTGTTTATCGTACACAGTGTAAAGAATTTTCTTTCCTTTAATGGGAAAAGAAAAAAAGTAAAGGAATTTGACGTAAAGTTGAGTTCATTGTCTTAGGAAATAATCAATAACTTAACACACTATGTACTAATGATATTCCAGTGATGAGTTACATTGTGTGTGTGTGTGTATATAAAAATATCAAGTTATAAGATTATTTTGATAGTTTTCTTCTAAAAAAACTTTCTTTTCCCGTTTTTTTTTTTTTTTTTTTTTTACCTTTTTCAAGGTACTCGACTGCGTAATAAATATGAATTTTGGAAGAAGTTTGGCATCTTTTTTCAGATCCTACTATTAGTTCACACTCTTCCAGTGGCGCACACAAGGGAGGGTGGTCCGGACCCCCCAAAACACTTGATTTTTTTTCCGATTGACTATAATTCTAAGTATATAGTACGTAAAATTTAATAAAGTATTTGTTATTAATGATTAATTTTATTAATTAATGCTAATTATTTATTCAATAATTAGTTTTTTACTGTGTTTTGTTCCCGAAAATCGACAAAATCAAAAGGAGCACGATACAAGAACGGTGAACTTA